GGATCCGGTGCCTCTAAGGTCAAAGCTCAGACGTGCAGAGGACAACAGGCTGGCCCGGCCGGCGTGGCTCCGAGGCTGAGCCGGGAGGTCACGGATCGATTCCCAGTCGGGCACAGGCCTGGGCTGTGGGCTCGGTCCCCAAAGGGGGCGTGCCGGAGGCAGCCGATCAATGATTCTCTCTCATCACTGATGTTTCTCTCTCTCCCTTCCTCTCTGAAATGAATAAAAAAAATATTTTTTTAAAGTGACATCTTTCTTTTAAAAAGTAAATGGCGCGGGCCGGCCGCAGGACTTCTCCTACCGGGAGTCCGCCGGCAGCCCGGGTGTGGGACGGGCAACGCGGTTCGCTGTGGAGGAAACGCACTGCTTTGGGCTGTGTGCCTGCACACACGCATGTGTATGTGCTCGTATGCGCTTGCACGTGTCAGTGTGTGTGTGCATGTGCATGTGCGCATGTGCATGTGCGCACGTGTGTGCCTGCATGCATGTGGGTGCGACAATGTGTGTGCCTACATGTGTGTGCATGCAACAATGTGTGTGCATGTGTATGTGCTTGTGTGCGTGTGCATGCATCAGTGTGTGTGCACATGTGTGCCTGCATGTGTGCGCACGTGCACGCGACAATGTGTGTATGTGCTTGTGTGTATGTGCACGTGTGTGCCTGCATGTGTGCGCGCATGCATCAATATATGTGCATGTGCTCGTGTGCGTGTGCTCACGTGTGTGCCTGCATGTGTGCACGCACATCAATGTGTGTGTCTGCGTACGTGTGCGCCTGCATATGTGTGCGTGTGCGTGCGTCCATGTGTGTGCGCACGTGTGTTCTCAGCGAAGAGAAAGAGAATGAAGACGGAACAGGACTGGGCTGCTGTGATGACAAGCACTGTCCCTGAGCCCGGCCGTGTCCCCTGTCCCCTGTGCCCTGTGCCCTGTGCCCTGTGCCCTGTCCCCTGTGCCCTGTGCCCTGTGCCCTGTGCACAATGTAAAACCGGGCCCGTGACGCCCTTTACCCGAAGGCTTCCCATCCCTCCAGGAATACACATTTTAAAGGAAAAGAAACATTTATTAACTTACTTATTTTTATTGATTTCCGAGAGGAAGGGAGAGGGAGAGGTAGAAACATCAATGATGAGAGAGAATCGTGGATCGGCTGCCTCCTGCTCACCGCCTACTGGAGATCGAGCCTGCAACCAGGACATGTACCCCTGACCGGGAATCGAACCCAGGACCCTTCAGTCCGCAGGCTGGTGCTCTACCCACTGAGCCACACCGGCCAGGACCTGACGAAATTATTTTTATTCCCCATTTTATATCTATGGAAACTGAGGTTAACGAGGAAAAACAAATCAGTGACCGTCTCCCCAGGGGCCAGGTGTGAATGACGCTGAAGCCCAGGTTCCATCCTCTGCCCCATTAAGGCTGCAGGAAGCTTAACATCACTGTCCCAGAATCCTCCTGGCTCAGCGGGTCACTCCTGAGTGCCCGGTGGCCGAGGATCGCCTGCGTTGCCTTCCAGGCGTCTTGGGGCCTTTGGCCTATTTCTCAGGAGGCGACCCCTCCATGAGTGGGCAGAAGTCCATCGTTTGCACCGTGTCTTCAAGGCGCATGCTCTGCGCCCGGGCCGTGCAGGAGGTGAGTCTGCGATGAGCACATGGCCGCGCCCGTGGCCACCCTGTCCGCAGGCGGAGCCGGAGCGGGAGGGCGGGGCCCCTCCACTGGCAACAGGACGTTTCCAATCGGGTCTTCGAACCGTAACTCGACCCTTCACTTAGGCCAGTGACGGCGAACCTTCTGAGCTCGGCGTGTCAGCGTTTCGAAAAACCCTAACTTCACTCTGGTGCCGTGTCACATATAGAAATTTTTTGATATTTGCAACCAGAGTAAAACAAAGACATATTTTTGATATTTATTTTATATATTTAAATGCCATTTAACAAAGAAAAATCAACCAAAAAAATGAGTTCGCGTGTCACCTCTGACATGCGTGTGTCATAGGTTCGCCACCACTGCCCTAGACTATAGTGCGCAGAGAATTCACTTTTTAAATTCCCACCCTCCCCTGGGGATGTTTTTTCCATTGATTTATTTTTATTTTTTTAGAGAGAGTGGAAGGGAGAGAAAGGGACGGGGAGAGAGAAACGCCCATGTGAGAGAGACATCCATGGGTCGCCTCCTACACGAGCGCCGACCAGGGCCCGGTCGGGAGGAGCCTGCACTGAGCGGGTGC